TTCAACCGAGAGGTATTCAGCACCGAATTGTGTTTTCAACGCGTCAAAGCGATAATCACCTGTTCTGCGTAATTCGCACCTTTTTGCTCCCGACTTCGCTACAAACTGCGCTGATGGAGTACTCGCCTACGTGCAGCGCGACGCTGTGAACGAGATAGCGAGGAAATTAAACAAACACGGTTTTTGCTCGATGTAACCGGACGGTTGTTAAATTGAAATTGTTTCGCAAAAACCATGCACATGGCATTGTTGCAAGTTAAAATCAAATCACGTAATTTTGGTTCAGTTTTCATTCTTTCGATTCAATAAACCTCGGTGATCCAGTCAACGGTTTAAAAGGATCAGGACAAACTTAAAGCGACGTTAATCCGCGATAAATTTTTTTCCTAAGCAGACCGCCTCATAATTTCCCGGGGGCTGTTACGGCGAACCACGGGACATGTTAATAGCGGAAAAATGAAGGGTCGAAATTGGAGTTGCCGAAAATTTAAACGGTCGCCACGACAGTCGTTTTAATTATCCGCCTTTTCGCACCGCCGAGACTTGTCCCTCGTAACTCGACCATTTCACGCAATTAAACCGTTCAACCCAATGCCGTGGAACACGCGATTCAACGAGATAATGAATTCTATAAAACCTCCCGAATATTATCTTCTAAATAGTTGACACATTGAGTGACCCGTCTTATTTCTTCACGCATAGGAACATGCTGTAACGTCTCATATAGAAATACCATGTGTTGTAATATAAAGCGTTGCATTACCTGGTGTTGCTCTAATCTCGCACTATCACGCATACCGTGCATTACTATGCGTTGCACTACCGTACGTTGCACTTTAACACGTTACACTACCACGCGTTCAGCTACCATATGTTGCATTTCCACGCGTTGCTCTACTACATGTTGCAACACGGCGTACTGCAATACCATTGTACTACCACGCATTGTGTGCATCTCCGCGCGTATCGTAACACATAGTACCGTCAAGCATCGTGCACCTACGCGTCGAATTGTTCGCTCGTGTTGAGCTGAAAATCACGAGGTCTAACAAGAATGCATTAATATTTCATCGCGATTATCGACACATGCAAGTTGCCGTTGTGACTCGATGAAAGTACGATGAAACATTCTCACATGTGACGCATGAGTGCTTCCCTAATCAGCATCAAAATACTTAGAGGACATCCGGTGTCACGGAACGTGGCAGTCTGAGTGAACGTGCGCAATTTTCATTACTATGCTGTCGCCCATTATTCCGTATCAGAGCAGCACCGGTTCGTGGTGCAAACTTTCAGACGTTGTCTGAGTAGTTTATGAATACCGCGACGCTAGGATGATTGTGGTCGTGGTGGAGGATGACTGGGGTCGTTGGAGGAGATGCCGTTGAAAACGTAGGGGTGGGACCACCGGGCGTTTATCAACCCTCTGTCCCTGACAAGCGTGCATACAAACGGAGAATATGTACAGACGCAGCAGGCGTCGGTACTCTCGAGATACTCTGATGCCAGGGTAGAACGTGTAGCGTTATAACTCAAACGCGGAGACCCCTTTGACTACCAGGTACCGCTACGGCAGATATTACTTTTATACACGTGATACTGCATCGTTTCCTCGAGACAAAGATAGAGGAAAAAATATATGACAGTAAGGGACAAGAGGGGTCACGGTGCTTGTTAGACGAGCACTGACACGAGCTTCAATTTCACCGGAATAGCAGTAATTTTCTACTCTTCGTTTCTCTTTCTGCCTTCGTCCCTCACTTCCGTGCTCCTTTCTTTTGTTAATTTCTTCGTTCACCAACCATATCGTCGACTTTCCATCCGAGCGTGAAGATTAAATGATGAGTCCCGGTGGAACGAACCTCTCACGGCTTTTTATTGGGTTAGCAGAGAAATTTTTTCATCTCTGTCGGTCGGTGACGTTAACGCGTTGATAGCCGTATACGAGGACAAACTTTGAATCGCATTAATTCGAAACTACCTGCGTAAGCTGATGTAATTAGAAACTTGCATTTCAAAATTAACCGATCAGTGTTTTAACGCGTTTCCCGCGACTTATGTGCTCGTTTTTACCGTGATAATCAATTATTTGGTGTTCAATTTATGGTCCACGGTTCGTGAGGCGAATTAATTTACGGTGAGCGGGTAATAAAATTCGTACGTCGAGGTTTCGCGTTTTACGACCGATATTCGCGATGAGAGACATGACTGATCGCGACAGAAAATGTCATATTATCGGTGCATAGCAAGGCGAAAAAGCTATGACTAATGGTACAGCTGCAAGTACTTATTTGTTATCGAAATTGCCTATTACTTACCGTATTGGACGATATATCTCCATCGTCGATATCTGCGAAAGTACGGATTTTTCTCGAAACTTCCTATCGATTATAACGAGAGCAATTTGTCCCTGTAAAGTGATTCACTTCGTGCTATCAGGTATCATTGCATTGAAAATATTTTTTCGTTTAATAAATAAATACACACTCTTTTCTAAAAATAAGAAAATAACAAAAGATAAAGGAAAACAAAAAGCATAAATCTAACATTACGTTGAAGTGTTTATTCCATGTTACAAACCGATCTAATTATCTAAAGTACAAAGTCATTTTGATGTTATCTAACTAATAACAAATGTAATTAAGTATGAATCAATTATATATAAATGTTACGGTAAGAAATAACGATGACTCTTTTAATTTTGTCAGATATTCTATCTGTCTGAGCTAATTATATATTTTTACTTGCTTTGTGTTCTATAATTCCCGATAAAAAGCGTTATCTCATGCTATCTTTGAAACGCAAAAAGAGTTCAAAGTCATCAGAAACGAAGTAGCTATCTGCGCCATACAAATCTCATTAATCAAAATAAGTCTCCGAATTCCAATAAGTCTAAATAAAAAAAAATAACAAAGGAATATCAGCACTTCGATGTATCATAGATAGCAATCAGGATGATTAATTTGATCGTTTGTTCCGTGTCACGTACACTAACAAACTGTTCGCAGGATCATCATACATAAATATGCGCATGGACAAACACACGAGCTCTTCGCTTTAATTGAAAGGCGAAACGCGTGTTCCAGATTTCGAAGATATTAATTAGCTTTCAGAGTTAATCGCGTCCCTCCGTGATGTCCACCGGTGCTCTCGGAATCTATGCGTTTTCACACGATCCTCTATAATACCTCTGACCACACTCGATCGACACAGAGGTCGATGACCATCCGGATAAATTCTGCTCGAAAACTATTTTGCTCAGAATATTCTGACTTATAATTTGCCGCGATTTCCGTGAAAATATCGGATCTGGCGCTTCAATTAAAAGTTCCTTTATAGAAACACGGATATTCGTGTCAACCACATTGCCTATCGAATTCTATCGAATCCAATTCGGTATATTTATTTCGGCTCGAATCCTATTCTAGGAGAATAGGAAAATTTGAAATATGGAAAAATTTAACGAGATAGAAATTTGTAATATGGGGATACAAAAATGATTCCATCTGCTATATATTTTCTTTGTAAACACTTCTCTATTAGGTCGCTCCGGAAAGTCGGCGATGTACGGCTCTGGGGCTTCGGACATCCAATTCTTGTTTCAGTAACTTACCAGTGTACAGCGTTCGATAATAACCAGAATCATTGACCAACACAGGTTGAAATAACCTGAGCGAACGTCTCGAAGCATTCGATTTCCGGTATCGAAAGCTTCTCTATTTTCCGCGTATTTTTACGATACCCACGGTGGTATCTGACCGAGGCTCGTTACCGCGGAATGCCGACGTTATTGACATAAGAGGCGTTTCTTTGATTCGGAATTACCTCGTTATTCACAATCGGTGATTTCAGGAACTCGGAGTAAGTGATTTGTATGCGTCATACAATTGACTGTGATTTGTGCGAATCAAGCACTTTTTGAATGAAGCTCGTTATCCATCTGCTCCTCTAAGTAAACCGCCTGTGTGTATCTCTCTGTGCGAGATCGAGATTATAGGAATTTTGTACAGGTTTGATTCGAATATCTGGATGAACGATTCTGGTCATTAGCCGAACCACTCGATCGAATTTAATTGTCCGTTTATATTCAGCGACGTTCGTCGAGTACGAATTGATCTTCGTATAATGGATTTCAATTTTTGCCTCGATATATGAAAATTGATATTAATAATCTTTGCTTTGCTGTAATTTATTCATATGTTTCATCTACGTCAATCGTACTCGAGAGATTCGCTTTGGTTGTCTTAATTGTCGTTAATTGTTTAATAAATCAAGTACAGAGTGGTCTGTTCCAATTTATCAGCTATCTTCCGAATCAAATGCTCGTTAAAGGACAAAGGAGCATTAATGCGCGCGATGCGTGGAATGACGTTATAGGTTATGTCGATTACATTTAGGAATTTAGTAATGCGATAATTTAGGAAATTCGAGCGTATAGATTCGAGAAGTTTAAATCCCATAATTCAGAGGTGTAATCCGATGTAATTTGATTTTTCCTTTCTTAATAGAACCGCATATCCTATTTGAGAACTCATTTACTGGAATATTAAAATTAAAAAGTCACTCGGTCCGCCGAAGGAATTGAAACGGAACTCCTGAAAGATTTTAATTTCATTACGCGGAAGTTTTCCGTGCACAGAACCACTTTTAAAACACGGATATTCACGTCAGTCCTATTTCACGCTGTATAGGTGCAATTAATCCATAAAATAGGTATGCGCTGTGCAACGCATGTTCAACAGCAATTTCATCGTCCAGGCTCCCTTTGTTTCCACCGAAACGGTCGCGCGGTATGCGCGAGGAAAATGTGACACGGACATTTATTCAAAACACCGCGCCACGTTTCGTTAGCATGTCGCGAAAGTGCGATTCGCTCTTAAATCTTCCGTCTAGCCTAGCCACCAAGATTTATGCACGCGACACGATGATTGTTTCAATGACAGCATGAGCAATGGCAGAAAAAAGGGGGATGCGCACGGTTCATTCGAGGACCCTCCTTGTGAATTATATTTCTCTTTTTATTTTTGCAGAATCAGTTAAATAGATACAATTCTTTCGTCTTCGTCCATTTTTTTATTTGCTAATTATTCATTAATCAACGTGTGACAATATTCGTGTGCCTTCATCGAAAATGATAAGTGTCTACAATTACGCCTAGATTATTATCTTACATAATACTTTCATTCTTTAGTTACAAGTTTGTACTATCGACTTACAAAAAGAAAATAAATTGCGTATACCGTCTAAACCCGTTTTCGTCGCTATTAAGTGTACTTAGTTTACAGAAATCTTTGAACTTTGGTTCCGTGTATTTAACCGTCTGGTTAAAGAGTAAGAGCTTGATAACGAATAACCATCGCGATAAAATCGTTATCGAGTCAAAACGAGATATGACGTCTCGTAAATCGATCACAATTTCACACAGCCTTGACCAATATAAAACCTGACTACGTAACACGTTTGATATCATCTACCATTCAATTTCGTTCTCTGCAATCTTTCATTAGCACGTTTACTGTTGCTCACTCGATGCCACGAAATCTGTCGACTAGTTACGGCACACACCATCTATCTGTAGACTCTTTAGGACGCGTCGAAACGGTCACGGATCAAGCAAACCCATTTCTACGTATTTCATTACCCTTTTGGGCGCCAACTTCCGGAAGCGGGGATACTTGAAACCAGGATTGGGCGTAGGTTTCTCTTTCAACATATCGTTGATATCTAGTACTTCGGTTTTGTCCACCAGCATTACCGGCAGCATGACGAGCGAAGAAATCAATTCGTACATCGCTCGTTCTCTCATATACCTTTTCAGTTCATCCAGAGTGGGTGGCGATGTTTTGCAACCGAGTTTCTTCATGACGCTCGACAATGTATGCAAGTAATCTTCGAGCAATTCTTCTTTATGCTGCTGAACGTCATCGGACAGGTTGATAGCCATGAAGTAATTCAGATCGACAGCCGGTGAAGTGTAGAGACACAGCTGGAAGTCGACCTACAACATCGAATGAATCGATTTATACATTCCAATGAAATCGCGGAAACAATGCGTAGGTCTATAACACGTATCGATGCTTACAAAAATGTGCTGGATGGGTTTCCCATTGTCATCGTATCGGAACATCATGTTGTTCACCCAAGCATCTCCATGGTTAATAACATTGAATTCCTTATCGTTACGTTTTACAGCCGCGACGCCCTTGCTATACGCATACGGGACGAATGTTCTGAACTTATCCGCGTATCTGTGAGTTTGACAAATGCGTTGAATTTTACCAAGTATTTTTTTGGTTGGAAATAATTTTGCTGCCTTACGTTTTCCCAAGTTCTGGCCAGGTTTCTATCTCATCCGCCAACGCTGTTAATGTGGTGATCATAAAATTTTTCATTACTTCGGGATAATGGTAAGAGAACATTCCATTATTGTATCGCTGCTTTTGTTTTGGTTCCTGCGACCACAAATGTACGTTTAAAGATATCAGTCAAACGACTTATTTATAGTAAAACCTATTCTATTAACTTGTGCCGTGACATAAATTTACCTTTTCGCATAAAGCGACCGACGCAGCGTGTAACCTGGCCAATCCTCGTAATGCCAGCAACGTGTGATCCATATCGAAACCAACTTGACGATTGGCCATTCGAAAACCAAGGGTAGACAGATCTTCCATAACTAAGCATATCGGTGGTTCCATTCGCACGTGATAAACTTTTGCGCATAGTCGATACTCAAGGCCCAACATGTCGTTCATCTTTCTCATGGTATCGGTCAATGCGGATATCTCGGTATCGAACAATTCGATTTTCGCGATCTTACGAAACATTCAGAAACTGATGTCAGATATATCGCCTCTGATAACATATATCAATATTATGAATGTGGTCTTTGATCGTTTATCATTTATACCATCGTTTCCTCGAGCAAATTACACAAGTTGCAACGAGAAACGATAGTAAAGTAGCAGGCTTAGGCAATTCCTGTAGTCACAGATTTTATTAATTCCAAAAAATTAAATATTTGAGATTCTGTAACATCGATTTGCCTAAATCTGCATCAGACTAAAGGAAATTTAAAAAGAAATGTTGAAACAAAAATGTACCAGATCCTTTCGCATGCCCTCTTCTATAGGTTCGAACTTGAAGAGCAGCGACTTTTTCTCGGTGGCTCTTTTGTCCCCTTGATTACTAACGAACTCCACCGTAACTCTGATCATATCGCTGGTATAGTTGTCACCCTTTTCCGTGGCCGGTTTCGTAATTACATTCGTCACCTGCAAAGTGTTGTCGTCCTCTGCTAGCCGCAGTATCCTCTTGACGTAGTCGGCGTTCAGCCATGTTGGTATCTCTATGGCCATTTCTGAAATTGGAATCGGAATTGGAATTGGAGAATTTTCTTCGACAAATCATTGTTCTTCCTGGCGTGTCAGGAAACACGGAAACGATTCTTTACAGTAACTTATTGTTCACGGCGAGATTTATCATGCTTTCCTTTCATTGCTCTATCTCTGCCCCTCTTACCTCTCGATCGCTAGCTTCCCCTTTCTCGATATTCACCGAGAACGTTTCTCGCGTTCGAGATCGAGCTGTTTCAATTAGAAACGTAATGGAACGAGGAGGCTCCTTTTCATTTCGTGCTCTCCTTCTCTTCCCTTTACCTCGTGTACGCGATGCAGCACGTTTCGCTCGGCGAGATTCCATCGGGCTCGATCAAGCCGCGATATTTTAAAGAAATTTACGACGAGCCACGAATCGCGTCGCGAACAAAGAACCGCTCTTGAACCGAAGAGAATATCGAAAAACGGGAGTTTTCCAGTTACGAGTCCCCTGCATCTTCGATTGATTCGAATCAGACTGATTGAAACATTTCGTGCTTGAACTTGATCATTAAATAGGTAATTACGAACAACTCAATTTTACCACTCAGGAAGCTGAACACGATGTGAAATGATTACGCTGTTACTCGTGCGCTATGCACTGCCGATCATTCGAAAGTTTATTTACCATAATTATGTCAGTATCGAGGTTATCAATCCCTACATGGATAATGAACATGAGACACGTCACAGATTAAAGTTGCCGAGAGAAACGTGGGAATTGAGGTCACGTAACTCTTATCCCGATGTTTTTGTAGACCTAAATAGCTTTATGTCACAATGTCAGATAGTGACTCCAAGTGCTCGAGTCCGTGTTGCACTAATACCTACTACTCTAATTTTGTTAAGTTTACATCGCTAGCTATTCCACATTGTCTAGAATGTATTATGACTGAAAGTGCTATAAGTTGACAATATAACGGTCTCTACTGTAGCAGCAAAAATCCATCTTCTATGATGCAAATGTTTAGCCAAATAGACATACCTAATGAAAATGGAATAGTAGGATTACTCGGACTATTTGTTCCATGAATATTAGCTAGGCTTAGGCTTAGGGGATAAGTGACCAAAAATAACGGATGCTGCACGAAACATAGTTCTATGACCGGCAAATTAGGATAGACGAGATTAATGATTCCGTTTATTTCGGCTCGGTTAGATCGTTGACGGACCGTGATGTATGGGTATTTTATGCGTGTTGAAACCGTAACACCGTTCAACGCAATATGTCCGTATAGATGCTGTTAATAACAGTGTTACCGACAACTATCCATGTTCCGTGTACATTATCGCTAATGTTAACATGTCGATGACAAATACATTAAAAGAGAACTATAATTTAACAGAGATATTTTTGGACACGATTGACCTTGTTCATCATACCGGATAAAGTAGGCGGTTTACAATTTCATGAATAACGGTGTTATATGTACATTAATCGTTATATCGAGTTAAATACGTCACTCAAATTATCAGCGGAACGGAACTTCACAGGGTTACGTATATTTCGTTGTAGCAATAATAACACAAATAAACGCGTCTAGGGAACTCTTCCGAATTATTAATTACATATACGTTATCGGTCTTACCGCGTTCCATTAATTTAGATTATCTGTACTTTTATTGCATCAATTTATGTGTGATCAATGATAAAATCTCTGAATTGGGTCAGAGAATAAATTATACTGTTTTTACCTTTGCGTTGAACACTTCCGAGCCGCCATAATCGTTTTCATTATAAATTATTAAACCAACAAAAGCTCTTACTTTGTGCTGCATGCTACGAGTTGTTTACTAATTCGTTTTTTAAAAACAGCTTCTGTTTCGAATTCCATTTGAAATAAATCGCCGTACACGGTCACAGTCGAGCTCAGGATTTATTATAAAAAAGTTTTCACGTTAAGCCGAATTTCTCACACCGAGGAATACGTAAATGACACGCACATGAACGATACGAAACACACAGAGTCTCTAAAAGTTTTCACTGACCTGCAAAAGATTCAAGGATGTTGCACCTACTGTTTCACTTCACTTGGGCTCCGTGGGTGTTTGGTACGGAGTGAGGCACCGGGAATCGGCTTGTCACGTTTTATACGAACGCACGTACATCATTTATGCTCCAATCAGAAGCGTCTGAACCTCGAACGTCATATATCGTTAACAGGGATAACAATCAGCCAAGACTCGATTTCCTTGTTCACTGTTGCCATACTGATATCGCGACGAATTCCGCGCGAGTTTGAGACGCAATCTAGACTCTATTTACGCAATTCAGACACTCTTTTACCGATGTTACAAGATAAATCAAAATGTTGACAGATAAAAGGCGACGGTGACTGTTGACAACTTCGGTAAGTATTCTCCATCGTAAAAAGACGATTAAGGCAATAAATAGACAAATGATAAAAGCGATAAGGATATTTGTATGCTATAGTAACAGTTAGCACGTGTCGAGATTATAACGAAGATGCATGTGTTAATCAAGAGTGGAATTCTGTTATTTATCTTAACTTTGTATATCCTTTATACATCGTTTCACTTTGTTGCGAAGTATTATGAAACAGCGTGGTGCAATGAATTTCAATCCGATGATATGCAAGCAGACTTTTAATCTTTCGTCGGAACTCGATAAAAAGGATCTTCTATTTGACCTTTATGGATTCTCAAGTTCTTTTCGTTGGTCTTGGATTTAACAAATAAAAACATTTTAGCGAAACCGAGATAAATGAACTCCGGTATTTGATTAGAGTTTTATCGTATAATTACCATGATATGCTTTGCACTCAACGAAGGTCAGGTTTATATCGCGAACGCGTGCACGAGTACTTTATTTGCATCATTTCATTCGTGGATCTTTTCCATGAGATCCATGAATCTTCAGGGTTAATGAACGCATAGTTCGTCACCGATGTCCATACATTGTTTTCTGGGAAACCGTCGTTTAACGCGATGGTAAAACGCGGGTCGAAATTTACACAGATCATTGGGCAGTCGCACAGGGGCATAGCTACTAATTCCCGTCATTACGGAGACTAATTACACGGCTAGTATCAAAGAACGGCGCGTCATTTACGAGCGTTAATCATTAACACCAGCCTGTATAGCTGCATCATTGCTTCTAACTGATGTCCGTACACGAACTCGATGTTTTTACGTAACTTTGAAATATTCTCGGGTGTAATCCTACTATGATCGAAGCAAATTTCATAATTGTACAGAATTTCATAACAGACAAACAAGTCACTGTCTCCATTAGCGTTATTATCCTTGGTTTCGTAACAATTAATTGTAAGGTGCAAGCACTTATCTCATGCTGTCCCTTTGTCTTGCCACGGTTATTTTGTGGATCAATTGCTGTACAGGATTTAATAGCCAGCGAGAACTGCTGGAGTTGATAAGTAATCGCGCGTAGAGGTCGATTCAATTCACGGCTCCGGGAGATTGATGATCAGGTAAACGATGACCAAAGGAAATTCAGCGTGTGTGTACGTAGCTTCGGAATTTTAACCCTTAATTGGTGATGTAGGGTCACTGTGATGCTGTGCACTCAGTTTTAGTTGAGTTCTGGGAGATTTACGATCAGGTAAATGGAGATCGGAAGTAAATTGAGCGTGTAGATGGGTAATTTCCGACTTTGGATACTTAATTGATCACGGGGCCATTAGGATGCTGCGCGATTTGTTATAGTTCATTTGTACTCGACAGTGACTTGTAATTGTACGTTCAACTTGATATGTAATTTGTGCGGTCGCGTGGGAAACTTTAATTATCCTTTGCAAGGACGAAAATACCAAATCTATTTGGTCCACTATTAAATCTGAACGCGTATACAGCAAAATCGATCTAATTAGCTTCAGCTTGAACTTAGAAAAGAATTAAGATTTTTGCAACATTGCCGCTATCAAATTTCCATAGTCATCATCAATTTGTACATATCATCGCAGTAATTCATATCCTGTCATGAATCGTTTACGACTCAAGGTTGTCGGTTAATAACGTAACGAGTTACTGAATAGACTTCGGTATCGGCTGCAAAATTGAGCCTACAGTAGCATCTAGCTGTGTTAAATAAAGGTCAAGATTATTTCGGTATCTTTCAAAATACATTAATTCCCAGAACGATGTCGTAATATCTTTTTCAGTATTTTTCGGAACTCTTTCAGCACAAACAGGTAGTAGCGGTACAAAAACAATGGCGTCATCCAAATCGTAAACGCTACAGCAATTTTTTTCCATTCTAATCGATTCGAAGGAAACGCCAATAAAGACTATGCTAGATACATCTAATTGGCCTGAATCGTTAATTGACGCGTGACCAAAATTGCACGATCGTGCGTAATTCTAGAATTCTATCAGTCATGATCCAAACGATTTATTTACATCGACCACTAGTTTTGAATTGCATTATTCAACGATGGATCACGTCCACTCGATGTGCGCTGTAATTTCTGCTATGAATTTGCATTTCAAAATGGTAATTGTACTGTGTTTGTTTAAATACTGTTATTCGACGTATATGGCGGTTCAAAGTTTGATAAGTCTCCGGTGTCTCCAACTACCGTAATCCTGTCTTGTTTACATAGTCATTATTTATTAATTTACAGCGATTTACATAGGAGAATATGTCGAGAATGATAAATTGAACTACTATGTAATGACTTATCAGTTGTTATTTGCTATGTTCTCGAGGATTTTCATTTTTATCAACAAGTGTCAATATTAGTTTTACTGTGCAACTTTTTCGCGCCTGTCCATCACTAGAATTAAACGATGATACACAAGATTACGTCCTCGAGTTCTTTTGTCGCCATTATATAATACCACGCGAATGTTCACTACGAGAATTCACCGAGCATGGTTTGACCTTCTTCGAGTACATGTATACAAGATGCGTGCACATAGATCTTTTCATTTATTATTGAAAGGCGGAATTGAAATTGAAGCAATTCTAGCCTCGGCGGAGGTTAAACTCTGTTCAGCTATCATTGTCGGATCTATGACCAAATAAGCTCGTCTGTTCAGAGTCGATTAAATACTTCAATCGAGGCGTTTGGAATGTTCCGTTCTTCGTAAAACAATTTTTTCTAGTAAAAATTTATCGGAAATTGTTTCTACAAAAATAACTCCATTTATTAAATTTCTAGCCATGATAGGAATTGCAGGAACTCGAAGCATCTCAAGTAAATGGAGCTGTGAGTGATGGGATTTATTCAATTTATTCATAGGCGTTGCATAGTAATTTCGTTCTCTATGCAAAAATAACTTTTCCCTATACGAGAAAAAATATATACCCTATTTTAATAGTTTGTTCTTTGTCAATTATTATTAGACTCGATGTTTCTAATTTTACTTAATCGAATTAAAATAGCAGGGCTTCACTGGTATTAGAGAGAAGAAAAAACATCGCAATTTACGATCGCAGACCATTGATACGCGCGATCCGCTGAATTATCGAGCAATTGCGCAATGAAAAATTATATTGCTGTACACTCGACTAAATTTACAATCGTTTCGTTTTACCGATATCGGCGTATGGCCATTGAATGATGCTTTAAACTGCCGGAATATACGATGCAATTTCCGAAACGCACCGGAGGAGAGACTTTATCGATACGTTGCATGAGAATCGACTTGCAACGAATTTATTTCGTGTCGTTCATAATTGAGAAACGGCAAAAACAACGGGTACAGTCTGCGCGAAAATTATTACGAGGTGAAGCAGGTTCTTTGACACGCAATTTGACGGGATCGTAGCGGCTCTCTAGGGAGATATTGAAGTGGAGGAAAGGACTGCTCTCGAAAGAGCAGAGTTTAGACTTTACAATTTTCACGATGTCAAATTTACAAGTTTCGAGATTTAGAGATGTAGAATTTGAGAATTGAAGCATTGTGGAAAATTTGAAAACTTATAAATATAAAATTTCGGAGCTTTGGAGATCCATAACCTCGAAACAGCGTACTCTCGGTAGCCCTAATGAGCTCAGAAGAGTACAACTAAGTACTTGTCTGCCCCAAAAAGCACGAATACCTTAGTATTTGTAAGCACTCGCGCTAAAAACGTGACTGTACAATGACTGGCATTGTTCTTGGGGTAACGAAGAATCCATTAGATCGAATAAAAAAGAAGTGTTCCCGGAAGGATCGTTTCCAAGGAATATTGAACCATTCGAAGCGAGTAACGCAGTATAAACGGATAGCAAGGTGAATTCTCTTTGCGAGTCAGCCCCGATATTTGTAACTCTCCACCCAATACGCCGTAATTGCGTGCGTATAAACTTTTAGTGTTATCGGGATCGTCGGATCGGAAGACGCTGAGCGTCGCAATTCGATTCGCGAATCGACCGGCACGTTTTCGCGTTCAAATATCAATTGAAGTTGCCGCTAAGTCGTAGCAAAATGCACTCGATTGCGAACGCTTGGGTTGAATACAGTCGTTACTACGTTTCTACCCTCTCGTCTTATCCTCATGGACGAACCTTCCCTCTATTTTCTTGTCCTTGTTCTCCTCGCTCCTTTCCTGGCCGTTTGCTCCTCGTCCTGGACGACAAAGGCGAACAGGAGCAATCTTTTTCGATTGCTGTTCGAAGCCCGTGTTTGAAGAACGCTAGAAATTTGCAACGACGCCCGACGAGTGGAACGGTTTGTATAACTTTAGTTTGTTACGTTAACTCTCGAGAACTACGCTGAAAAATTTTGTATGGAAGCGTGAACGAGCCACCAAGGCTTTCGAGGATATTTATTTTAGAGATCACTCCGTACGAAAACGAGTTCGTGTCCAAAATTAGTTTATGAACATTTGTTTGACGAGACTCTCAAAGGATTTTGAGTGGTAATTATCTCGTTTTATTTAATGTTACTTAGCATTGTGTACATCTGTCTGTTTGGACACATGCAAAAATATCGCCAGAAGATAAGAATGATTCCACTGACGTTTATAGCGACAAATAGAGCAGATGTTTGATAGAAACTATTCAAAGATTAGAACGAAACGTGATACGATAAATTACTTCCAGTTACTTTACATAACTGGAAGACATATTTTTAAACCCTTGCTGCTTTATTTGAGGAAC